TTTTGTTAGCGATGAGCATAGTGTGAAAACGTGTCATCATTCTTGTTCTTTATCCCGGCAAAGTCTCTTAAAATATAGAAACTTTTATTTCTTTTTTATTTGTGTTGGTTTCCTTTAATATTTTTCCATTTTTAGCGGATTTTGCAAGGGTGCCCACAACCGGGTACAAAAATTTTTTTGTCAAAAAATTTCTATTTCACTAAATTTCTTATTGACATGGGCGAATTTCCCTTTTTTACGGGTAGGGAAATTCTCGTCAAATTTCTTCACAGAAGAGTGCTGCGAAACTTTTAAAAGGGTAGATTGAATTTTTAGTATTTTAAGAGTGGCCGGTTGACCCGCGAGAATTTAGGGGAAATGAAAATTAACCCTTATGGGGAACTGCATGGGGAACCAATGCAACCCTCGGTGCTGCGATGCAGGTTGAATTTTGGTATCGACGTTGAGCGGGGGGGGGTCGTGGCAGTGAGGCGGACGATGGGGGCCTTGCTGCTGACATCGTGGTTAGGAGAGAATTGGCAGACAGGCGGTGGGGGACCCATGGCGGCTGGAGAATAGCTTCCTTCCTTCTCTCCTTCCTTCCTTCTCCTTCTGGCTGCTGGTCGAGGCTCGTAGCATGGAAGATAGGAAAATGGGTATAGGAGAAAAATGAGCCGACTTGAGTAATTTCAAGTATAGCCTTTATTTCTTAGCTCGAACCGGTACCTCCCCCTCCAGGCAATGAGAGGTCGGGTACGGTTGTCGAAGTACATAATTCGGTGATCCGCTTATATCTACGCACTGAGCCAAGTCATATTCGCACGAATCGCGTATGCGCACCACACAGCACTTCATGTAATTAATATGGAAAATTGCGTAGCTTTACCGGTAAGTGGCCGAGAACAGGCGCCACCTACGGTGAAAATACCGTAAGGTCGCTCATTTTTCCGGATCGATCAAAAAATTAAAAGTGAGGAAAAATCCCTCACGTCAAACCACAGGGTTGATCGATTTAGAAAGATGGAGCGGTACAACCGAAGATTTAACACTAATGTTATTTACAATGTATGACACGTCGATGAGCTGGGACCATTCACCTCGGTCGCCTCTACTCAACTTGGAGCGGTGAGGAGGACTTCCCTTGATGAGCTGGGACCATTCACCTCGGTCGCCTCTACTCAACCTGGAACGGTGAGGAGGACTTCCCTCGACGGACTGGGACCATTCACTTCGGTCGCCTCTACTCAACCAGGAGTGGTGAGGAGGTCTTCCCTCGATGTCGTTACAGTAGAACTTTCTCTAGGTCTACCTCTTCGGAGAATCAAAGGGATGCGAACAATTGTAGTGTTGACCATCTGGTTCAACTAGGGTTCTTCGTGGTCGACCTCGTCGGCGAAATCGGAGGGACACGAACTGGATCCTCTGTAGTGGTCACTATCTTTTTCCTCAGTCATCCTCGTCGGCGAATCAGAGGCGCTGCAGGATAGATGTGGGTCACTATGGGATTTGAAGGAGGCCTACTCTTAGGCCGTTCTCGACAACTTGTAATTGTTGGAGAGTGGGGGCAATTGTTGCTGATCTCTGATCGGTAAGAGTGACTGTCCGGGGTCTCGCTGGCCATAATTGTGACTTGTGAGCTTTTGTTGTTCGGCTGATCAGGTTTAGTTCATACACTTGCCCTTGTAGCTGACGTATAATAGGGTAAGGTCCTCTTCTTAATGGAGCTAATGAGGCGTTGAACTGCTTGAAGCGTCTGACAATTGGTAGTTTCTTAAATAAACGAGATCGCCCGGTTTGTAGGGAGAAATATCCGTCGGAGTCGTAGCGGTACTTAGATATTTTACCGTGATTTTATATGGCTTGAACAACTCTGTCCTTTGGATGTTGATAAGTTGAGAGGGGGAGTGTTCAATCACCAGGTCTATTTAAATTGTGTCCCTAAAGAATCTCACTGGGTATGAGACCGGTAGCTGCATTTATTTTCTTCACAGCAGTAGTTAGAACGAATGTTAAATGGCTTATGGAGTAATAATTTGATTTCGTGGACCATACAATTGGTTTGAGTCAGAGGACCCACAGGGTTAACGGTTTCCCGAAATCGAAACGAAACATTTAAAATTAATGTTTGGTAATCTGTCGGAATGTCAGATACCGTCTTAATAAACTAGGATCAAGATTCTCTACCGAAAAGGAGGGAGTGTGATTTCCGAAATAGTTGGAACCTCGGTTCTGTTTTCCAATATGGATACATCAGCGGGATCGGTCGTAGACTACTTGGTGCTCTTCTATCCATAGGATTGGAAATTTATTCCGAGATTAGAAACATCTCTTTTCTAATTCGGTTGTTGATTAGAAATTTTAATCTAAATTACCCGAGAATATTTAGGGTAACTCCTTTTTTAATACTTCTACTCTCACGGTAAATGGTTAATTATTTAAGTATAGGGGAGAGAGGTAAGTCAGTAGAGGCCGAATCAAAAAGAACTTAACTTATTTAGTTGTTAAATTCGAACGTAACAAAATTTGGAACGGATGTTTGTAGAGTAGATATACTCGAGGGGGCCTTGCTGCTGACATCGTGGTTAGGAGAGAATTGGCAGGCAGGCGGTGGGGGACCCATGGCGGCTGGAGAATAGCTTCCTTCCTTCTCTCCTTCCTTCCTTCTCCTTCTGGCTGCTGGTCGAGGCTCGTAGCATGGAAGATAGGAAAATGGGTATAGGAGAAAAATGAGCCGACTTGAGTAATTTCAAGTATAGCCTTTATTTCTTAGCTCGAACCGGTACCTCCCCCTCCAGGCAATGAGAGGTCGGGTACGGTTGTCGAAGTACATAATTCGGTGATCCGCTTATATCTACGCACTGAGCCAAGTCATATTCGCACGAATCGCGTATGCGCACCACACAGCACTTCATGTAATTAATATGGAAAATTGCGTAGCTTTACCGGTAAGTGGCCGAGAACAGGCGCCACCTACGGTGAAAATACCGTAAGGTCGCTCATTTTTCCGGATCGATCAAAAAATTAAAAGTGAGGAAAAATCCCTCACGTCATTATAAAACTTTTTTATTTAAAGGAATTGTTACGGTATAACCTCATAGTTAAAAAAATTAAATAAAAGAAATATTATTAAAATTGAAAATTATTTTAATAATCCTATAAAATATTTCTTGCGAGTAATATAATTGAAAGATGATATCCTCGATATCACCAAGCATAAGCTGCCTCAGCATCGCATCGGAAACAAAGTTGGCTTACTTGAGCATATTTCTTTTATAACTAACAATAGGTTAGTTAATAATAAATTTTATGAATTTCAGGAAATCACTGAATACTAAAATAAAATTTTTAGTAGTATTTATAATTAATTACCGGTAATAACGATTTCTGATGAGCGCAGTAACATGCAGCTCCAAACAAATTATTGTCTATAATTTAAAAGAATTAATTTTTTTCTCATCGACAAAACACTCTTAATTTCCCCGAAATTGTTCTTCTTCAATTCCAGCCGACGTAAAATGCAAAATGGAGAAACAACATGCATTTTCTCCTTGAAATATTGAATAAAACCTGTTAAAAGTACTTAAATCGGAATGGCAGCTACTTAAAAGTAATAATAAACCTTGTGGCAACATTCCCATTTTGAAAAACAATGAACGGCAATGTTGCGAATATTGCAACCCATAAAACGAAGCTTGCGGCATCTGCCTGAACAGTTTTCGCCGGGTTGCAATATTCCCAATTCAAAATTAATGTACGACAATCTTATAAACACTTAAACACGATTCCATGATTAAATGCCGAACGTATGGGTTATGTGTGCACATTTCGCGACAGCGAAATAATCTAAGAAAATTTTGCTGTAATTTTATAATTGTGATTCGCATATTTTGTTGTAAAATTGATATGTTGTCAAAATAACTAAAAAGATATTTAAATTGTTTTATAAAATAAAATAGTAAATGGAATTAAAGGTAAAGAAATAAAATAATTCGTAATTATATCGCTTAGACCTACACATCTTCGGATGGCTATGGCAATGCACACGCATACATACGAACTCTTTGGGACAATGCTAACTGTTGCGACACGCAGACAGACGTACTATGCATAGTACATACCACTCACACATTGTAAGCCTTCGCTTGTTGCTTCTTCTCCTTCGTTGCATCCTTCCCTCTTCCTCTGGGCCCTATGTGCTTGCCAAACAAACGCACGTGCGATGATTCAAGCTGGATATTAATTTTTTTTAAAGTACAACGAAGTAAATTAAAATTATTTATTTCAGAAATTATTTGCAGAATTAAAAATTAAAAAATGTTTCTGGAATTGCCAAAATAATTACAACTGAAACATTATTATGAACACTATTGCGTTGTTACTGATAAATAATTTGAATTAATTATTTATAACAATAATAGCAATAAACAAAAAAAAATTTGTTTTATAAATAAGGGGCATTCTTTCTCAACTTTACCACCATGCTGCCCATCTTCAGTTTGAACGAAAATCATTGAAATACCACTTAAAATTTTCAGAAAAATGTCAACTTTTGAATGGTGAGTGGCAAATTTGTCCATTTTAAACGGTTCACTCTGAATCTGTCAATAAACGGAAAAAAGTCAAAAAAATAATTTGTTATTAAACTATAATGTTTGTTTAATTGGCCATAATATAATATAATATAATATAATATAATAATATTTTAGTTTGTCATCAAGGAACGTCTCTGTTTCAATTGTCTAGGCAAGCATAGTGCTAATGCTTGCAAATCTCAAAAGAGATGTCAAGAGTGCGAAGGTAAACATCACACCATGATTCACCAAACAACGGCACCTTCTCTCAACAAGGACGCCACTACAACTAAGGATCAAGGTCAATATTAAATCACACCCAGCTCTTCAAAGGAACACTGACATGGGACACAGGATGACGACATCGGTTCTCACTCAAGACCAGTGGTTCTCCTAGCCACTGCACGCGAGCTCATTATCTCCCTTCAAGGTACTTCTCACCCAGTTCATATGCTCATCGACTCCGGTTCTGAACTCTCCTTCATTTCGGAATCAACTGTACATTATCTAAATCTATCAAGGCATCACTTAGCAATTTCAATCATCGGAATTGGACCAGCTAATTCAGGCAATACACGAGGAATGGTTTCAATCACTCTCAAATCTATTTATTCCCCTCAATCCATTCTCCTTAATGCATACGTCCTTCCAAAATTGTCGTCAACAATTTCTACTGCAGATCTTCCTTCTCCAAACTGGCCTCATCTACAAAACATCCAACTTGCTGATCCAGATTACTCAATTCTAATGAAAATTTATCTCCTTCTCGGAGCGGATGTATATTCACAAATTATACAATCCGATATTATCAAAGGATCTTCTCTTACACAAATGGCTCAACTTACTATCTTTGGTTGGGTCATTTTGGGACTAACTTATATAAACTCTAACAAGGAATACTTATCTCATCACTTAATTGTGGATCAACATCGGGATGATCTTCAAAACCTTCTTACCAAATTCGGGATTCAAAAAGATCTACCCAACAAGGAAAAGGATAAACTTACCATTCAAGAATTGGAATGCGAGGAGCATTTCAATGCCACTTACTCAAGGGATTCATTAGGTCGATATATTGTTCGGCTTCCACTTTCTACATCACCGAGTCAACTTGGCGACTCCTACTTCAAAGCTCAGCGGTGTCTACAACGACTTCTCATAAGATTCTTAAGTCAGGAAAAATACAAGAAACTTTATTTCTCATTCCTTGAGAAACGTGCAAATGATTTTCACATGGTTAAAGCTCCACCAAGGGATAATAGCCTTACAACCTATTATTTTCCTTATCACGGTATTCTCAGGGAACAAAGCACCACTACATCGTTAAGAGTTGTGTTCAATGGATCCAGCCCATCAACAACATGTGCTTCTTTTAACTCAATTTCTCACACTGGTGCCAAATTACAAAAGGATATCTCTGATGTGTTACTGTGGGTGAGAAAATTCTGATTTATCTTCTTCCACAGACATCACGAAGATGTTTCATCAAATTGAGGTACACCCAGACGACTAGAATTTACAACGAATACTCTGGATTGATTCAAACAATAAGAAAACCTCTTATCAACTCACCACGGTAACATATGGTACAAAATCGGCATCATTCCTGGCTGTAAGGGTACTATTACAACTCATCCAAGACGAAGGACATCGATTTCCTCTGGCAGTACCTGTACTTCTCAATAATCGGTACGTGGACGACATTTATGGTGGGGCTGATGAATTAATACAACTCAAGAACATCGCAAAGGAACTCATGGAACTTCTCATCTCTGGCGGGTTTCCTCTTGCAAAATGGCAGAGCAACCATCCAGACTTCTTCTGACATAGGAAAGGGCAGCACCAATCACTCTCATTTAATCGATCATACTCAAACCAAGGTTCTAGGTCTCTCATGGTTTCCAAGGTCGGATCAATTCAAATTTCTAACTGAGACAACTACACCACTGGATCAAGGAAAATCAAAAAGGTCTATTCTCTCCGAGGTATCTCAGTTGTTTGATCCTCTCGGATTTCTATTTCCCGTCATCATCCGAGCCAAAATGTTACTGCAGGAACTTTGGCTCAACAAGTTGGGTTGGGACGACCCGCTCAACTTCCGCAAATCTCAATTTCACTTCGACTTCTACAACGGAACTTCACGGATTCTCGGAATCATCTCAATTGGCAATGGCCAATTCAAAGAAGAGCTAGCTCAACTCCCTCTAATCTCAATTTCACTTCGACTTCTACAACGGAACTTCACGGATTCTCGGATGCATCTCAATTGGCAATGGCAAAACCTCGGAACAAGGCAAAATTTTAAACGTCACTCTTATTTGTGCTAAAACCAAGGTCGCTCCTCTCAAACGTCTCACCATTCCAAGGTTAGAACTCACAGCGGCTCAACTTTTAGCACGACTTATGGATTATTTTTAACGAATCCTGGAATTACCTCAGGTTCCAGTATTCATGTGAACAGACTCATCGGTAGCTCTCACTTGGATCAACAACCCTCAAGATGGAAGGAATATGTACGCAACAGGGTGTCTTCAATCCACGATCTCGTCCCTCAAGGTCAATGGTTTATAAGAGGAATAGAAAATCCTGCTGATTGTGCATCAAGCGGCCTATCAGCTCAGCAATTTTCTCAACATCAACTCTGGTGGAACAGTCCATCCTGGCTTAAGAACTCTAAGGAAAAATGGCTAACTCCAACTCTAAAGTCGGACTCCTCAGCACAAGTCGAAGAAAGACCCGAAACCACACTCACGGTTACAATCTCACATCACGCATCATTGGATTTAATCGAGAAGTGCTCATCCTTTTACAAATTGCTAAAAATCACAGCAATTTGTTTCAGGTTCATCGGTGTTCTCATAAGGATTCCAAACTCTCCTTTGGTGCATCCCATTGGACCGAAAGATCTTGCTCTCGCAAGGATTGCTTGGGTAAAAATTACTCAAGCAGCGTATTTTCAAACAGATATCAGGAATCTCAATCAAGGTATCAGTTTCTCACGATCTCATGCATTCTCGAAACTCAACCCATTTATTGATCAACAAGGAATTTTTCGAGTCAGAGGTCGGCTCAAAAATTCAAGCTTGGACTTCGACAACAAACATCCTGCTATCTTGCCCAAGGATTCTCCTTTTACTTGGTTCATCATCGAAGAAGCTCACTTAAGGACATTTCAAGGTGGGAAACAACTCACCTTGGCTCACATCAGAGAATCTTATTGGATCATCGGAGGAAGGCTACCAGTAAGATCATTCATCCTCAAATGTGTCCCCTGTGCTCGACAAAGAGGGTCTCGAGCACAGCAGCTGATGGGTCAGCTGCCCTTAGAACGTGTTTCTCCAGCAAGGCCATTTCTCACTACCGGGGTTGATTATGCTGGACAAATCACCCTCAAAATTTGGAAAGGACGTAGAGCAAAAATCAAAAAAGGATGGATTTGTGTTTTTGTGTGCTTCTCATCATCTGCTCTACATCTGGAAATATTTTCAGATTATACCTCAGAAGGATTTCTCGCAGCATATCGACAATTCGTTTCCAGAAGAGGAATTTGTCAGACACTCTACAGCGATTGTGGCACCAATTTCATCGGTGCTGATCAAGTTCTCAAACGACTTTTCAAGGGTGCATTTCAAGATTCGAAGGAACTCGCTCAATTGCTGACCAAGGACGGTACTCTCTGGAAATTTAACCCTCCAGCAGCTCCACACATGGGTGAGAAGCTGCCGTAAAATCTATTAAGTATCATCTCAGAAGGACGATTGGTGAAACGATATTGACGTTACAAGAATTTACGACTCTTCTCACGCAGATCGAAGCTGTTCTCAACTCCCAACCGTTGGAACCACTCACAAATGACCCTGACGACTTGTCAGCTCTCACTCCAGGACATTTCCTCATAGGGGAACCACTCACTTCTATACCATAACCTTCTCTCTTGGAAGTACCAAGTTCAAGATTAACCAGGTGGAAATTAATTCAGCAGCAGTTCCAGTCTTTCTGGTCAAGGTGGTCCACTGGTTACCTTCAACAACAACTTGCCATCTCAAAGTGGCATCATCCATCTCATGAAATCAAGGTCGGCTCCATGGTTCTGCTCACTGACGAGAGGTTTCCTCCCTTAAAATGGCCTTTGGCCAGGGTCACTGAATTACACCCTGTCGAAGATGGACTCACAAGGGTAGTTTCAATTAAAACTGCAACGTCACTACTCAAGCGGCCTATCTCCAAATTGGAGGTGCTCCCTGTCTCCGTGGAATAAGGACCATCTCATCAGCTCAAAGATCGTCAACGCTGTTGCCGATGGGGGGGAGTATGTTCGGTTTTCAATGAAAAATATGTCATTTTTGGTGTTGTGCGTGTGATTTTGATTTACGACCAAAGTGACCACGCGAGGGCAGCATCTCTCGCTGTTCATCTATTTTGCTTCGCGCGACTATGCTCTTACCTCTACACAGTCTCAAATAGATGCCCTTACAGTTAACCATCATTTTTGGTCAGCTCTCGATATTTATTTTTTGAGTTAAATTCTTTATAACAAATCCATTAAATTTAAAGTGTAAAAACGACCAGGTTGTCTCGCACAAATGTTCTCAAATGCTTTTTGTTAAGGTTTTCTCTCAGTAAATTAGATATTTCTCACGGAAACCAAAAGCGTGCACTTGCCTGAAATGCCACCGCTTAGAATTGTTTTTACGATCTCAATTAAAGGATAATGAGGAGATTCTCAAAGGTTTTGTACAAATTATATCTCACTTGATTATTTTCTTTAATAAATTATTTTTTGTATTTTTAACTTTAACATTCCCAGTTAATTAATTGAAAATTATACCCATTGTTCCTTTTTGACATCAGACTAATCTCACAGATCCCAAGGAAATTCTCAACCTTTTCTCAAACAGGTATCGTTTCAATAAAGCTATACAATAATTTTTAAACAAAAAAGAAAAAATCGATATATTTATGAAATTTTGAACAAACTCAGTTTTCGATTTTTTCATTTCGGATATTTAAAAAATCTTCATTTGTTAGTGAGGTGGGCAAATTCTACAAAAATTCAGTAGAAATAGACAATACTTCGATAATAAAGAAGAATTTAACTACAAACATCTAAATTTCAAATGGTTCTGCAGATTTTCGGTATAACTGGATACGAATTGTATGTCAGATTTCCAAAATTCAAAATAGCGGATCGTATATGGCAGACGATTTGGTAAATCTGACATCGTATTCGCATTCAGTTGTACCGAAAATACGCAGAAGTATTTGAAATTTATATCCTGGTTTGTAGTAATATTCTTCTTCATTATCGAAGTTTTGTCTGTTTTACTGAGTTTTTAAAGAATTTGACCAACTCAGTAGACAGAATGAAAGATTACTCAGAGGAAAATGAAAATATTTTAAATTTTCAAAATATATTTTAAAGAAGAAAAGTAGCATCTTCAGATGCAATATTGAACTTTTGGCAATACAATTATCATTTGATAATAAAAAACTGGTCTTTTGCACTTTTAAGTTAAAATACCTCGAAAACCTGACGTGCAGGGTTTATTATGCAGCTGGATTCGGAAATATCAAGTTGAAAACCTTCGGAAAAGTATGGTTTGATTCTTGTTTAGTAAATACTGTCGGCCTGTGGTACAAACGGTTCCTAAAGTGAAAAATTGATGATAAACGACAATTTCTTCATCAATTTTGGAAATTTTTAAGGCTCTACAGTAATTTTCTGAGCTTTTTACCATAGAAAATCTTTGTTATACAAAGAGAAAAATCAAGCGTTTGTAGTATGGAGACTTCCTATGGTAATTTTGTATGGACGTCCTGCTTAAGAGGCGTGTCTTTATACCTCAGTTGCATGAAACATACTAAAAAAGCATAGATCTCTTGCAATTGTAGTATACTGACATTCCATGCGTTCAGTGTAGAACTTTTATGCTGATAACGTAGAAATTGATACAAATACAGCACAAATTTTACGCCTATTGCGCATGTGCATTCTTTTACGAAATAAGGTTAACTGTTTACACTACAAACGCTTGATTTTTCTCTGTGTGTAAAAGACAGTTTTTGGATCTTAATAAAATTGTTGTTATGAGGTTTAGGCCAAAGAATCCAAATTTTTCATTAAAAAATTTTGAAGACAATTTTTAAGTTTGTCACCCAGTAAAAATAGCAGGATTGGAAGAGAGCGAATAGTATTGGCGGTGAGTTTCTGCACGGAAAAAAAAGTACGTGAATCCTTCCTTGAAAGTGATAGGACTTTTGGATAGGACACAAAATACTAGACTGTATTATATACATTTTATTATAAAATATAAAAAAGTCCTAAAATTATTTTAGTACTAGCATGCGCAGTGTGCGTTTTTATCCAAGGTAAATGACAGCTGATCGTTTGTTTCCATTTGTGTTAATTTCAGATAAGAATATACTATTATTTTATGAAAAACAAATAGTGTTAATATATATTTGTCTTCAAGAATTGACTTTGAAAAAAATATTTTTTATTTTGTGTTTCTCACAAAACAGAATGTTATGTAAGTCTCAGTTTTCAGTGAAATAGCATGTCTCACAAGTCGTAAAAAATTTTACCATGTAGTATATAAGAACAATTCGATACGTACTTTTAAGTGTTAAGTGTGTGTTTATATTTAAGTTATACCCGAATATATGTGAGTGTAATAGGTTAGTTCATAAGTGTTGATAAACGTCGAAAAGTGATACAATAATTGTTGTTTGTTTGTGTGATTAATTATCCAAATATGTGAATGAATGAGTGAATTTCAGAAAAACTGTGTGAACAAGTGAAAATTATTTTTTTATTTTACAGAAATATACAATTTTTTTGAAAGTCAATGAAATTCCTCAAGCAAGGTGCTAGAAATTTTCATTGACTGCTTTTTAACAACTTCACTGGCTGGGCGTTCCAAATGGCGTTTCACGCGCCGAGAATAAGATTATCACAATAAAAACTTTAGTTTTTGTGATTTTCAACGTTTTTCCGAACGTTATAATAATATAATAATATAATAATAATAAGTATAACTATTATTTATCATTATTTTACGTATATGTATGTATATATATATATATATATATATATATATATATATATATATATATATATATATATATATATATATATATATATATATATACGTAAAATTATTGCAATAATAATAATTTTTTTTGTTTAGGGACTTTTGGACACTTGCAAGGACCTGCACAGCACTCGTAGATACCGTCTTATATGCAGAGATAATACGCGTTGTTATCGATCTCTGCGCCGACAGTACCTTTTTACAGATGGTCACACATCTTTTACTCCTCAGGCATGGGGCCCACGCTGGTGCTGCATAGAGCATTTTAGCGTGGGCGACACTCGCCACTAGTCTCCGTTTTTGTTCACGGGGTCCGTCTACGTTTGGCATTAACCGTGAAAGATTAGCCACACACTCTATCGCCTTATTTGACGCCGTCACCATGTGGTGGTGGAAGTTTAACCTTCCATCCAACTCCACACCAAGATATTTAATTTGTTTACTCCACTTGACCTCGAATCCGTCTATCACGATTCGTGGGAGCTCATAACCACGTCTGTCTGTGACCAGCAGTGCCTCGGTCTTTTTCAGGGCCATTTTAAGACCTCTGGTATCCAGCCAGCTTTTTGCTAGTCTCAGACATTCGTTCACCAATGTCCCAAAAGCCTCCTCACTTTCGGCAGTGCACACGAACAACGCGTCGTCCGCAAAGCCGATGATCACCGCACCTTCGGGCAGATCCATTCGCAGAAAATCATCGTAAGATACATTCCATACAAACGGACCCACCCTCGAGCCTTGAGGAGCCCCACGCTGCATCTCTTCCCTGAGAGTGCAGGTGTCTCCCTCATATATAACCCACCTGTCGCTAAGATAATTATCCATTATCCGCAACAAGTAGGGCGGCATGTTTTTCTTTTTCATCGACCCGATGAGATCTTTCCATCTTGCGGAATTAAACGCGTTGCGTATGTCAATTGCTACCATCGCGCAGAAGCTCTTCTTTTTTCCAGGTCCCAATTTGTTTTTTCCTGCTTTGGCTATGTCCACAACTGCCTGGATGGCATCAACTGTGGACTTGCCATTACGGAAACCAAATTGGTGATCGGATAGACGATTCTCTTCGGTAAAGTGGCTTTGCATTCTCTGCAGAACCATATCTTCTAGAAGTGTACCCATCGTATCTAGCAGGCATATAGGCCTGTATGATGAGACTTTATCTAGAGGTTTTTCACCTTTCCTCAGGAGGACTAAACTCTGTCGCTTCCAGTCGCGGAAGAACTATCCTCTCTCAAGGCAAAGATTGAAGCATCGAAGCAAAATCTAGAATGAAGTGTCGATTACCAACTTTAGGATCTCTTTACTTATGCCATCGATTCCAGGCGCCTTGTCTGTTTTCAATCTTTTGCCTGCTTTTTGCAGTTCACTAAGTGTAAAGAGTTCTTCCTCTTCGACTTTGCAAAAAATCCAGTCCCTTCTAAGGTATGGTTCTGCAGAAGGAAACAAAGAACTTATTATCTTTCTGACCCAATCGGGATTGTCCAGTCCGGGGGTCTTTTGCCTCGTTACTAATTTCTTAGTCACGATTTTAAAAGCCAGACCCCATGGGTCCTTATCGACTTCCTTGATTACGTCCTTCCAGCTACGGCGTCGCGACCTGCGGATCTCTTTCTTGAGGTCCTTTTTCGCCTCCTTGAAAGCCTCTTTCAGCAAAGGATCTCCCTTAGATCGGGTGTATGTCCTTCTTGCTCTGAGGCATTCCTTTCTCAAGGAGGCCAGCTTCTCTGACCACCAGTGCAAGGATTTTTTCCTTGGAAAGGCGCCTTTGCGACGTGGCATCGACGCATTGCAAGCGGTGACGATTATATCTCGCACCGCTCGCACCTCTCCATTTAGACTTTTCTGACTCCTCACCCAACCAAAATCGTCAATTAAGATAGATTCTTCTAGGGACCGGCTGAACTTCTCCTTGTCGAGTTTCTTAATGTTCCATGAGGAGGTTTTGTGACTAGGAGCTTCCTGTCTTTTTCCTCCTCGTGTGTCTCCCATTGAGACTGAGAACTCAATGTACTGGTGGTCACTTGCTGTATAATAATAATAATTATTATTATTTTTATTATTATTATTTTTTTTTTGCTTAGGGAATTTTGGGAAATCTGCCTACAGATACCTTGGACTCCGCACTCCAAGGTTATGTGGGGTTGGTGTGATAAAACAAAAGGAA